ACTTGAAACATTAATTTTGAGGGACTTATGTGAGTTTACGGCCAAGGAGAGTTCTTGGGCTGTAAACTCCACAAAACTTGGTATAAATCTCATTCTAAGGTGTTTGAAAGCCATCCAACACCACCAAAAGCCTTGGAATAAATCAAGGGACCAACCAAAAATACTTTGAAGGCCAAAAACACAACATTTATGGGGTTTCTAAGAGTTTACGGCCAAGAAATGTTCTTGGGCCGTAAACTCCAAGATTTTTAGTGTTAGAATGCAAACTACACACCCCTAAGGCCCTTAGATGAATTTTAGAAGTCCATTCATGCATGTTCTAGGCCTTGAAACACTTTGTAGCACCATGTATTAGAGTTTACGGCCATGGAGCTTGCTTGGCCGTAAACTCCCTTAAAGGGGTTCAAATTGATGTATTAAGTCATTCCAAGTCCTTAATCCAAGCCTAGAAATCATCCCCTAAGTGTTGGAAGTCCAAAAGGCACCATAAAACACCCATCATGAGTTTACGGCCGTAAACTCATGGGGAAGGGTGTTTGGGCCGTAAAATCCTTTAATGGGAGTGTTCCTTTGATGTCCCAACTCATTTCCCAAGTCCCTTGTGCCATTCATGTCCCTAAACGCCACCCGGGTCCCTCCAAACACTCGTATCGGAGTGTTATCGCGACCCGAAACAATTGTCCCTATCCGGCAATCAATCTATGTCCTAATTAGATACAAATGTGTATATTTACCTTATAATTAGGAACCTCGTGCGTTTACAAGTTCCGGACCAACTCTTAGCATCCAAACCGTCTCGTACCTCGTTCGGTGAGTTCATACCCCTACGGCTTTTTCACTGTTTTCAATGTTTTCAGGGGGGGAATACAAGCAAACCATAACTGTTTTCCAATCATAACATTGATGTGTTTCAAACAATCTTTGACAAATCTATAAACTCTTTTACTCCTTATGTATTATGTTGAGCATAAGGAATGACTATTCGATTTCAACTAAATGGATTTTAGTTAAGAAACAATCAAACTAATCAAATTATTATGGGAATAATTTGGGGTCCTTACTGTGCTTTCTATCGTATACTGATATCTATACTAAATTACTAGATAAACTATTTCTGTTCAGTTTATCTCCATATCATTTGAATGTGTTATCCGATGATTTCATGTATGTATCTATACTTTACTGTACTATGTTTCATAACTTTCTGTAAGTCGATTTCTTATACGAACCCTGTGAATGGTTTAGTACTAGCTTGTGAGATAGTTACTAATCTTTATGGATGATCAGTAAATCCTCTCCGGAAGTGTAACCAGAGTCTCCTGGAGGGAGAGCGCGGAATTTGTGAATAGATCTATCCGGGACTGACAATCCCACACATTAACTGCTAGCTACAGTTAGGCGGGCACGCCTAGGGTGACAAATTTTTAGAATCGTTCGACGTCTGACAAACGTCAAGGAGGTCACGTTGTCGTATCAGTATGGTTACCCGACTCACAATATGTATTAATACCAGTTTATTCACAGATTGGGTTCAGGATCTTTATTTCGTTCGGGATAGCAATCCCATGGTATTGTTTCTATGTCCTATTCGGGATAATGATCCCATGGTTTATTTTCCATATCTATTCGGGATAGTGATCCCAAGGTTTTCTATATCTATTCGGGATAGTGATCCCATGGTTTCTGAATCTATATCTATACGGGATAGTAATCCCAAGGTTTTCTATATCTATTCGGGATAGTGATCCCATGGTTTCTGAATCTATATCTATACGGATAGTAATCCCAAGGTTTTCTATATCTATTCGGGATAGTGATCCCATGGTTTCTGAATCTATATCTATACGGATAGTAATCCCAAGGTTTTCTATATCTATTCGGGATAGTGATCCCATGGTTTCTGAATCTATATCTATACGGGATAGTAATCCCAAGGTTTTCTATATCTATTCGGGATAGTGATCCCATGGTTTCTGAATCTATATCTATACGGGATAGTAATCCCAAGGTTTTCTATATCTATTCGGGATAGTGATCCCATGGTTTCTGAATCTATATCTATACGGGATAGTAATCCCAAGGTTTCTATATCTATTCGGGATAGTGATCCCATGGTTTCTAAATCTATTTCTATACGGGATAGTGATCCCATGGTTTCTAAATCTATATCTATACGGGATAGTGATCCCATGGTTTCTAAATCTATTTCTATACGGATAGTGATCCCATGGTTTCTAAATCTATATCTATACGGGATAGTGATCCCATGGTTTCCAAATCTATTCTATACGGGATAATGATCCCATGGTTTCTAAATCTATATCTATACGGGATAGTGATCCCATGGTTTCAAATCTATATTTACATACATACATTAACTTATCTCGTGTTAGTTCGGGATGATAGTCCCATGATCTTGAACCGTACTTTCGATTATCTCAAACTAACTTATATGTCTTTCGGATAGTGATCCCAAGATTTTCATTATATAGTTTTGCGTACTAAACTATACTTTGTGATATACCATTGATCTTACAATTAGGAAAATATGGATTTTCCTGGGTAAATACAATACATAACCAAACTGGTAACAAATGATAACTTAACCAACTTTACATAAGAAAATATGGGATTTTCTTGGATACCAAATCATTTCGGAAACTAAAGGAAACCGATACATTTTCACAAACAAAACCGCTTATGAACTCACCAGCTTTATGTGATTTTCAAACCGCTTGTATTCTCAGGTCCAAGTTAGACAGGTACCGGTGATCTCCTTTGGCGAAGACGGAGTGCGTAGAAGACTCGTCTCAACTTTTGTTAATATGATGCATATGTATATTTGTATAACTTTACTTTTGAAACACATGTAAACTTTTCATAATATATGTAATGTAATGTTTACTGTGAATACTATGTACATTGGATTTGATACACAACGTGGTAGTCAACCGGAGACGTTTCCGCCTCTGGTTTTCGGGTGTGACAGATTGGTATCAGAGCCCTTGTTTTATAGTGAACAGAGTATACCAAACCTTACATGGTATAAAACTATAAACACTAAAGGGCCTCAGTGCTCTGAATTAAAAGTATCTTCAAAACTACAAGTATTTTCAAAAGTATACAAGTATACCGAACCGCCGAAATCCGTAACTACAAGTAGAACAAAACATAAGTAAATGGGTGTTGTACTAACGGTTTAAACCTGGGAAGTTATGTAGTTGTGTCTAGGGTCAATATAGCCTGGCCCAACTATATTCATTCGAGACACGGCCAACATGTGCTTGGGAGTGGACTGTGGTACGCAGCATGCCTAAAAACTTACCTAACATCTCAAACAACGAATTGCCGCTGCAGTGCAACCATGAAATACTATGGGAGTATTTCTCAAGCCAATCCTCTATAGAAAATCCTCGTATACGCGATGTTACTTGATCACTCCGCTAGCGATAAAATGTTCGTACTTGATAACACTCCTTCCTGCTTTTATCGCTTAGTATGATGCTATATCTACCTTGATAGATATCCCCTGTTCAATATCTCTTGATTCAATTCAGAGGACTTATAATCCTCTCTTTCCTGATCTTTTAGATCAAGATGCCTCCGAGAAGACAGACCCAGTTCAAAGAACAACGATAATCCTCCTCCGCCAACACCTTCTCCTCAATTTCGATCTCGCATCACTTCAAACAGTTCTGACTGCTGCAATGGTGGCAGCTATGTCTCAAATGAATTCCGTGTGGCTCCGGAGGTGGTCCCCAACCTCAAAACCAGAAGGCAGCCAGGAACACCAAAGAGGGGGTTCCTACAAAGACTTCATGAATGCGAAACCCACACACTTTGATGGCACTGGAGTCATTTCCTTGACTCGATGGTTCGAGAAAAATCGAGTCAATCTTCGAAATATGTGCCTGTTCGGAGTCTGATAAAGTCAAGTTTGCTGCCTGTACTTTCTCGACAAAGCCCTAACTTGTGGAACGGCCGAGTCAAATCCTTAACTCTACCTATAGCGAATGCCATGGGTTGGGAAGTTATGAAGGAGCT